CTGTTGAATTTATGGAGAAAAAAATTCTCGATTTGTTTCTCTTTAGATGCCAACCATGATACGCCTATCGGGTTTAGCTGTTGACTATTTAGCGAGTAAAATAAACGAAAACACATTCAACGAACTGCTTTACACAATACAAGGATAACCGGGATCGACTAAAGCCTGTTCGACCAGTGCCCAGTTGATGTTCTTGCAATTGGATAACGGATTGATTCATCCGCATAGGAGGATGAACCAAACTGCCTGGCAATTTTGAGTCTAATTTTCGGTGGAAATTTCATAGATTTTGGTGTTGAATACCAGTAACAAAAGAAAATCAAAATAGTATACCACTGCTAGATGGTAGATCGGTGGTATAAACTGAAACATTATAGGCATGAGAATTTCCCAATTCATATATTTTTTTAAAAACGAAAGAATTTACCGAATAAATGAGCAAACTCGGGACGGACCATGGCCGCCGCAAACAAAGTGGACGGGGCGGCATAAGGTAACTTGATCGGAGTTCCCGGAGGAGCGCTTGCCGTTCCGTCCGGTGGTCCGGGTACCGGAGATCGTTGTGCGGAATGCGCGTTTGACTGAAACGGTCTAGATCGACACATCGAAGCAGCTGACCATGGAACAATTCCGTAAATCCTGTCCACGTCGTCCACCGGTTCGGGAGATTTACCATCAGCACCATTGCGTCGACTTGATGCACCAGCTCTCGACCAGCTTGGTAATGCACTTGGATTAAGGCTGCTCAGTTGTCCCAGATCACCATCACAAGCGTTCTGACCCGATATTCGACCAAACAGATCATTGAAGCTGGTCCTATCACTAAAAGCACCCCCACCAGTGCCTGTGACACAAGCTCTTCCATTGGTCCATGACGCCTTGGAACCGGGAAGTGTGTAACCGAAATGCATACCCGCGGATCTGTGCAGACGACTGACTGTTGTGAAGAGATCCTCAGTATCAGAGGAAGAGTTAAAAGCAGCTTTTGCGTCGCGGCGGTTGAGTTCTCCTGATTCATTGTATGATGAAAATTGATATAAAAGACGATTTTGAAATCATACTTTCATTTCCACTTGGAGTAGATCATGGATAAAATACACCGATTCTATTGCAATGTTTCAAAACCATTTCAGGCAACCACGAGGGATTAAAATTATTCACCTAGTTTTTGGACCTGGAAAAATGCTTGTCACCTAATCATGCCAAAATTTATTTCATGAACAAAAGGATTCCAGAAATGAGTGAAAGCCTTTAGATGTTCCTCCTCTCGTCCTTCGGCTTGCATTGGTGAATGTGCAATGCACTGTCAATCGCTTTACAATATCACCGTTTTTAAGTATTTTAAACCTACTACTCATGAGTAATGTCAGTGTGTGTATGTAAAGTCTCAGACCACAGACAACAAGCGGGCATCCCAACAGAATGGTTATGAAAAATCCACTAGAGATGTTTCAAAGGATATTTCAGGTATCTTCTAGGTAAGCTAATTGCATGTTCTGATTGCTGTTGTTGTGTTTAAGCCCGCGGTCTAAAATCACGTGATCCGTTTGCTCCACTGGAGTTAACGACTGAGTAACTAACAGGTTTACATTGATGGCTGATTGGAAGGCTGTGTAGACAAACCTTGTGTAGAATAAACTATCCTAAATTCATATGCGGTAGCTTTGATGTGTTGCCAAGTGGGCTACAGGTCCGTAAATAGTCCTTTCTTTTTGTGACTGTAGGTACAACACTAGCATGGGCCAGTGAAGTTATCAACGGTTCATCGAGCGACGTGATAGGTTGCGAAAAACCACAAATCACTGATTAAGTTTCTTTGATAAATTTGCGATATAGCGTCTCACATATCCTCTCTTATGGTGGTGAAATAACAACGTTTCCAAGAGATCACACGAAATCTATGCTGCGACACGATTTGATTAACTCACCCTGTCCGTCAAGTAGAGGGAGCATTCTTCGTTTAGCTTGGTCCATAAGATCTTCGACATCCGAACAAGCGCCATTCTTTGACTCTCCAAAGAACCGGTCGCCCACAGTGCTCCTTGAATTGACTCCGGTAGCTGACATCGGCCTGGGACCGGTAACTAATTCGCTCATTGTATCCGATCGATTGGATTCGCTTGTGTAGCTCGGTGTCCATGACGGTAAAGTTGGATAGCGAATTGGTGCGTGCAAACGCGACGTAGTCCGACCGATTGGCAATGTGTCTGTCCGCGTCGAATTAGG